GGGTGGATGATTAGAGGATTTAAATGGACAATCTCCTAGTAGGTTATAGGTATGACATCTAGTATAGAACCTTAGAGCAGACTACTTAAATAGGCAATCAAAAGTTGTATATGTAACTAGCTGTACTCTTATATCTGTAAAAATAGTTGTAATAACTAACCTAATATAAAGTTAATAAAGTATCACCACAAGTATGGCCTTAACAAAAAAAAAAAAAAATTAAGTATATTATAAAAAAGATGTTGTACAATGATGAACATTTATATGTAATCATGATTGATATTATGATTTCAATTCAAGTAAAAATACAGCTTTAAAAAAAATGAATAGTCTATTTTTGACTAATACTTTATGTTCTAAAAATAAAAATCCTAAAGAGCTAGTGTTTGTAATAAAGTTATAGAAAACATAATTATATTTTAAATAAAGAAATGATAGAGTTTGAGGATTCTAAAAAATTTACAAAAGAAATGATAAATAATATTAAATTCATAACTATTTTTTGTAAATTTGGTGCAACAAATCAGAAAAAATTTCTTGAAAATAAATATCTGTTGCACTCTATTTACTCAAAAAACCTATATACAGCTATTAGTAAGTTTTGTTTAATGAAAATTTTTTTGTTAAACAATGCAATGCAAATTTCCAATTGGCTTGATCAGCAGAAAGAGCTTAACTCTTAATGATACATAGTACAAGGCTAGAATAATAATAATGTTTTGACATATTTAATATGAATGACATCAGAACAAATTAAAAACTGAGTGAAATCTTTTAATTGTGTTCTTAATGATACTACTTACAAAACAAACTGATATAAAATAGCTCTATTACTATTTGTTGGATTTAACAATAAACAGCACAGACCTGCAGGTCAATAGTGAAGTGGTTATGCTCTCAGGTTGCCAATTGCAAGGTTGCTAGTTTAAGTCCAATAGGGGACAAAAACTGAGTTAGGACCATGATTGTTAATTAACTACAGTTAACTGTGAACTACAAAAAAAGGAAGATCTTTGGTACTCATATCCTTAAATGGCAATAGACCTGATATAAGAAGACTGTGATAATTAGGAGGCTAAGAATAAAAATAGAACAAAGGAATCCCTGATTAGGAATAATATCAGTAAAATTCTGAGGTAATAGTAACACAGAAATTAGTATATAAATAGTACTGTAAATGTACACAAATAATGTAAAAATGTAGATGGGGTCCTGATAGAAGGTCCTGTAAATTTGAAATAAGAACTAATAAAATAGCCACCAGCTGCAGCCCACTAGTGACCATGCAGTAGAAAATTCAAAAAAAAAAAAAACAATAAACAGCACAACATATTATTTGTACAAGGTCTTTTGACTAATAAATTTTAGAGTCACATGCATGAATGTTCAATCAAATAATTAAATAGACTGATGTAAGTCTAGTTGTAATATTTACAAATGCTAATCCTGCTGTTGATTCAGCTATTCGTAAAGTATTTGGTTTAACTTACCTTTCTATTGCATATACCATATTATTTAAAATTTATATAAAAATCTAAAGAAAGTTTTAGACAATAAGTATTAAAAGTTTTTTAAAGAATTTTATTGTTGCTATAACAGTTTCATTAAAGATATATTTCATCAAAGATTTAACAAACTTTTACATAACTATTCTAATGCCCAAAAGTATTTGAAATTTATTTTAAAATCAAAAACATATTAGGTACATTGTTTTACTAGATTTAGGTTTACAGATAAATTTTTTTTTTTAAAAAAAAATTTATTTGGTTTTTAAATGATTTATTTAATTTTTTAGATAATATGATAGCAACCTCTTGCATAAAATCAATAAATAGAAGTTTGAAGCATTTGTTATATAATTTAAATGTTTTATTATATGACTTTATAACAGAAATTTATCAACTTCTCAATATACAAGACAAAGAAAATAAATATAAATTCTGGAAATTATCAATTCCTACTATAAGAAGTTAAAGCAATTCAAATTTTTTATTTACTAAAATAGATTAATGTCTTCAATGTTATCTTACAACCACTATATTAAAATGTATAGAAATAAAATGAACTAATCATTGTACTATATAGCAACTCCTTTAAATATAAAAAATGTTGAAATTACAAATATAATATATAAATAATTACTTTCTAAATAGTGATAGTAATAGATTAATGAGTTAACTAAAATATAGCAGATTAGTTAAAAATTTTGATCATGCAACTTTTTAAACAAATTTTATATTATTTGTTGTTACAGCTATTTATAATTAGGACATATAGGTACTATTCAATAAAAAAGTTTTAAATCTAGTCAAATTAACTAGATTTAAAAGATATTTATTTCCTTTTTATTAAACAGTCTCATATTTAGAATAGTATTTAAGCACAGGTTAGAGCATATACTAGTGTTAGAATGTAGATTAAAACTTAAACTAATATTAAAGATGAGTTGGATTTGAACTTGTAAGTTTTAATCAGTATATGAAATTAGATTCAGAAAAATAAGGTTTGAACAACTTTAAATATATGAGCTATTTAAAAAATTTTAAAACCAATATATAATTTTAGATGTTATCTAAATAGAATTAGAATTGATAAAAGCTTTTATATATTATTAAGAATCAGCTAGTATAAATATGCTAATAGAACATCTATTTTTAATATTTATAAAAATGAAATCAGTGTTAAAAAAATATGAACAAAATGCTTATTTATTAAGGATCTGATACATAATATGCTGATAAAATATATAATCTAAAACATTGTTATAAATTGGAATTAAGATTAGAAAGGATAAGCAAAAAGCTCTAAATATTATTAAAAGTCTACTAACATGAGAATGCTGATGGAATATAATCTTAAACATTGTTATATAAATAGAATTTTAGATTAGAAAGAATGAATAAAAGACTTTTAAATATTTTCAAAAAATCTACTAATGTAAGAATTCTGATAGAATACATAATTTTAAACATTGTTATGAAAATGAAATTTAAGTTATAAAGAATGAATAAAAAAAAACTTTTAAAAATTATTATAAATTTGCTAATATGAGGATGCTGATTAAATATATAATAATTTTGGACATTATTATGAAGGTAAAATTGAATTAAAAAGGATAAATAAAAAGGTTTTGAATATTATCAAAAATTTATTAATAAAAAGATGTTGATGGAATATATAATAATTTTGAATATTGTTATAAAAGTGAAATTTTGTGTTATAAAAAATGAACAAAAGATTTTCAAATATTATTAAAAATCTGCTGATGGGATGTGACAATCTAGTAAAGTGATCAGGTTGTCAACCTCTAATTGGCAGGTCCAGAGTTCAAATTCTAGTATTGATAGAAAATTTAAAAATTCACTCTGTATTATAGTTAACTGTCTCTCACAATTGGTTGAAATAAAATACCTGTTATTTGTATTATATCAGCATAACTGGCAGGTTAAATAGCATTTGTATAACAGTTATATAATATTGTCATTTGAAACAAGATCTGTGGATATACAAAAAATGCAAACCAGTACTAGGTGATGCAAACTTACAATAAGTTCTTATGGTTATGTAAATTATAAAAACCAAATAAAAGAAGATGAAAGCTTACTTGGAAGACTCAAATAAAGAGATAACATAAACTTTTGATAGTATTATTATAAAGATTAGACTTATGAAATAGAACTAGAATTTATGAAACTAAGCAAATGTGCCAGTCTTTAAGAAAGAACCAGATAAACTAATCAGATTACTAGAATTTTTGAATTTCAGAAAAAAAAGATACATGTTAGCAAATATATAAATCAGAGATATATGATTATGATCTACCTTTTCAGGCTATCTGAAATAGCAACTTGGTAGAACTTAAATTGAATACCAAAGTAGTAAAGATATGTTGTGAAGTTAGTACTAGGGTTAGGATAAATTCTACAAGGACATAGCAGTTTAATAATATGCCCTGATCACCAATGTTAGTCTTGGTTATAGCGATACTAAGTCAGTTGTAAGAATAGAATACAAAAGATTTTGAAAGATTTAATACAAGCTTAAAGGTTCCAAAGAACTGTTTTAAAGACTTAGTGACTATGGTATATTTTTATCAACATTGGCTAAGGTTATTGGTAGCCAAAGGTAAATAGGTAAATACAAAAACTAAAGTGGTTAAATAGGGAATCTACAAGCAAATTCCAGGTATGATAGCTAGTATAGAACCTTTGGACAGACTACTTAAATTAGACAATAACTAAAGTTATACAAATAACTAGTTGTACACTCTTTTTATAGTTGCCTCCTGTAGTTGTAATGCAACTATTAGCCAAATATATATTAATAAAATTCTAAGTTGCAAGTACTTACTTAATATTAAAAAAAAAATTTTGCTAATAGAATATATAATGATTTTGGATGTTGTTATAAAAGTAAAATTTGGATTGAAAAAAATAAATAAAGGCTTTCAAATATTATCAAAAATCAAGGATGCTGATAGAATTCATTGTTATAAAAGTAAAATTAAAGTTAGAAAAGATAAATAAAAAAATTATATATATAACTAACTAAAAAACTTAGATGTATAACTAACTAAAAAAACTTAAATTTTATAAAGTGAGTCACCAATAAATGATACATTGATTAATATTTCACAAACTACATTAAAGTAAATGTTTAAATTTGTAGATTTATCCAATATTAAGGAAATTTGGACTGTAAATGTTGGAAACTTGTCAAATGTCAAGCATCATGTTTTATTATTACAAAATGAAGAATATATATGTACATGTCTTTCTGTAATTAGATGTGAGATCATTTGTAAATATTATTTTCAAGTAATGTTGGTTACAAAAAATACCTGCTTTCATATTAGACTAATTCCAATAAGATGGTATTATGAGAGTCTAAATGGTTCAGAAGAATGATTTTTGTAAGCTAACAAGTTTATATAAAAAAATCAAGTTGTAATATATAATTCAGATAACTCAGTTCTATATTTGTTTTTTTTTAATCAGAACTGTAAAAACTTTCATGAAGAAAGTTTAACAATTCTTGAGCAAAAAATTGTTTATGGAAAAGTACATAGTGTATATAAAAAAGCACTTGATAAAGTATTGCAAACCAATTCAATGTTACAGCAGCTTATTACTTTACTTCAAGAATTTATTGATGAGCAATCTGATTCAGATAAAAGTTTACAAAGTGATAGTAATGATAAAGAAGATTTAACAATATCTTAATTAAGAAATCTAAAGAATCATTAAGGAAAGAGATGACCATTAGGTACCAAACGATTTAGATCCTCGCAAAAGACTTTCAAGTCTAGGGTAAAGCATCAGCATCGATGTAAGAAATATGGAAATATAGACTATTATCAAAAAAATTGCAAGGTGAATTTATCATTTGTTGATTGTTATTAGTTATTTTATTTTATTTTATTTTTACTTACAAAAGTTCTGGAATAATCTCTGAGCATATTTTTCGAATAGAATTAGTATAGCATTCGTAGTATGGCCTTAGCTATCTAAAATTTGACTTTCACAAGTATGAATTTTATTATTTTCTTATATTATCATAGTTTGTAAATCAATATTCAATTTGCATAAAATTTTCTTGTAGTCTGTATAACGAATAAAGATCCAAAAGCAAAATTTCAAATTAAATATTGAGACATTGGATAAATTTATAGCAAATACCATCAATTGGATGATTGAATTCATTTCGTGGTTCAAATAATTCATTCTGTGGCTCAAATAATTCTCAAAAACTGTTATTATCAGTTATTATAAGAATCTGCTGATATAGGACTTTTACATTGGTATCTATTATAGACATGGAATTGAAGTTGAAGGTTGAAAATGATCATTAAAAATCAGCTGATATGCGACATGCTGAAGGAACATTTGAAGTTGGTTATTGTTATGACAGAGAAATTAGAGTTGAAAAAATGAACATAAGCATTCATTTATTATCAATAATCCGCAGATATGGGTAACAATAGAGAAGGTTAGTTATTGTTATTTTCATTAATTTGAGTTGAAAAAAGTGAACGTAGAAACATTCAACAAGCACCATGCTAAAGAAATATATGGTTGATTTAAATAAGCCGTTAAGATTGTATTTTGCATAAAGACATCATGAAAAACTTATTTGGTTGATATGAATTGCAGATTTAAATAATAGTTAAAAAATCGTAGAGAAATAAATCGCTTGATTAATACATATTGTGTGGGACTATTTTTTATAATAAAATGAGAATTAATTAATCAATAATATCAGGAGTTTTATGAAACTAATTTGATAATTGATTTTGCAGGCCAACCCGATTTCTTTAACTATAATAAAAGCAAATTTTAGCTTTATATAGATTGAAAGTCTCATTTTAAGGTACTGAGGGTCACACTAAGGCAACAATCTTGTACGAATACTACACTAATCTGCTGAAACAATATGCTCGAAGATTATTTCAGATTAATTTCTGTCATAAATATAGGTTACAAATGAGCAATAGAATATTTGCAAAAAAATTTAATTCAGAGTATGAATGAGCAATTGCAAATTAATATATTGTATATTTTGCTTGTTTTTGAAATGCATAGTAGCTAGTTTGCTAATTGGCTAATAAAATTAGATATTTTTGTAACACAAATTGCTATATTAATTATTTTGTTTCTAATTTTTTGGTTTTATTGGTGGGTGATATATCACTATTGCGATAAATTATAAAATTCGATTTGAAATTTTTAAAATTTGTATTATGAAATCTGACATAATCATGTAATTTATAGGGACTGGCGATACATCGCTACTGCGATAAATTACAATATCCTATTAATATAATATTTTATTGTTTTATTGACATTTGATTACCTTACAAAGCCTAATAATCTTTTGTGACAAAAAAAAGAAGACTTCAAAGTATTGAATCAAATTGCATACTTATTCAAAAATAATAGATGACATTAAAGACTTCGAATGAGCAAAAAAAATCTTTTATAGTATTAAATTAAAATTTAAAGTTTTAAATAAAATAATAAATAAAATAAAAATTTGATGCTAATATATTTTAGGCATTTGAATTTGAATGTAATTCGATTCAAAATTTGAAGCAATAACTAAATAAGATCTCATCCGAATAATAAAAAAAACTTCAATTGTTTTTTTCGATAATCTCGTGATTTCGAGCAGCATTTACGTAAAATTTTGGCTATCCATAGCAATTTATAATAAGATCTACAAGTCGCCATTGGCCAATTTAGTTTTAATTCGGGCTTGGTATGTTTATGTCATAACACGAGATAAAATTAATGATCATTAACATCTGCGTGATAATAATTCTTTATTCTTTATTATCTGGTTTATCAGAATACCTGTTCAATGACGGATAGACAGATACAGATGAATTCCGGTTTATCGTTATGAACGGATAGATAAATATCACAACAAATATGAACGATTATATATAGTATTATAAAGCATGTTAATAGAAATTCTTATTTGTACAAATATACATACAGGTTAGATGTAAATTTGTAAGTTTATATGTTTAACTATTCTTGTAACGGTATTTGTATTTACCGTATTTGCGCGAAATAACGCCTCGGGGGTGTTTGTCAAAATTAATTCTTAGCCCTCTGGAAATTATGCGCCTAAAAATAACTCCCCATGGCGTTATTCCGTGAAAATACAGTATATGTTATATTAATTTTGACTACGTGGTTGATCAGGGAGACGTTCATTTCGGACATAGGACCTTATAGACAGTCATTTCACATATTAGGCAATATCTACAAAACGTTAGAGAGGAGAAATGATTGTAGACAGTATCTACCAGATGTTAGATAGGAGAATAAGAAGCTTGCTTGTGAAATGATTATCTTTGAAGTGACGCGTGTCTGGTTGATCATAACTCGTCGATTTTAAACGTTACCATTACGTCAAGCTGCATTTTATGAATTGTATATAAAATATAGATCGACGCTCTCTATGCTAGAGTGATCGATCACATACATCTTACTTTATGTAACTGACCACTGAGTTTTTTTAACAAAAAATTGAATGAACAAATTAATCTGGATACTATCGCTATTCTATTCTAAAAAAAAAAAGCGAATGAACGAACGAACAATCAATCATATGGTTAACCAAAAAATTTTAATCGATCACTATTTTTACCCACACACTATTAACATGCTAGTTCTGTAAAAATGTTACGCTAAACATCGACAAGATTTTGATAAGTCTTTGCCGTGACCATTTTAGGTTATATCCAACTTTATATGATCAAAGTTAGTTATACGTATATATATAACGATAATGTAATACGTAGTAAATTTTATGCCATAGCGGGTCATAAGGTCATAACCTATAATTAGCCAATAGGTCATAGGCCGTAACCGGTTGAACCTTTTTTTTCTATATATAAATAAATAAACAAATTCTAATGTTAGACTAAGAAATGTCCTCATAACTAGCCATGTCATTTTTTTATACTTAAGATTTGTTTGAGAATTGAAACATTAATATGCATGGCTTCACAAATTTCAAAAAAATAGTGGAATTTGAATTTAATATCATATGAAAAAAGATCAAACAATGCATCAAAATCATAAATTTCCTTATCGAATAAAGATTTGATTATAATCATGAATAATATCGGGATTGAATAAATATTGAGTAAAGAATCGATCTAGCTTTATTTAGATTAACTGTGAACCCTGCAGAGATGCATACCGAACTGTGGGGTTTATAAATGACTTATGTACCGACAGCTTGGGATCAAAAGATATGATACTAAATTTGGTATAATTAAGACAAGAAATTGGCTGGGTTTTTTTTCAGCCTTTAAAGTACATAATTATTTAGCCTTGTACATAATCTATAGTGAAAATGCGTATTACGTACATAATCTATGTGGAAAATCGATCAAATAATCATGCATATATATATATGCGTAGATATATATACATGCATATTTTTCATTACGATTATCAAAAGAGCATCTTTTTACTAACTACTTGGAATATCTCGTGATAATAACTCAAAATGCATATATTACACAATATAATATTACGTAACCACTATTTTAGGTAAATATTAATTGACCGATCTTCGTAATATGCTTATTTTTTCTTTTTAGTTGTGTCATAAAGCGAATTATAGAAGCTTGAATCAAATAACAATGATCTAACTTAAGAGTGCTTTAATTGTCTATCATGTAAATTATCGGTTATCAATGTGCAAATTTCTTATAACCAAACTTATCATCTACCTGCTGCCTTCCTCTGTATATGAGACACTATAGAATGCTATAATTATGGATGTATTAATTTTGGGGAAATGGGGATAAGGCTGCAAATTACAAAGCATGGGCAGCACATGGACGTTCGAGCCTTTATCCAGCTAGCAAAATTTGAAATAGGGGCTAAAGTATCACCGTTTGACAGCCAAAATGAAGACATTCATTCAAAATAAAGCATTGATTGGTCCTTTGTGTGTTGTAGATAGCATTTATTTGGCATATCAAAGTCAATACTGATTTACAAATTTATTGATACGTACTTAATGAAGTTTGTCCAACTTATCCCCTGGTGTGTGCTCCACATATTCCGATCGACTTATGCTCTGGTGTAACTTACTAACTATCAAAAAATATGGCGTAAACCATACCGCATTTACTTATTACTGCATTTATTTATCTGTCCGGCCGACACATAATTATTTAAAAAAAAAAAATTTTTTTTGGAAATTATGAAATCGTTAGTTACAAAATAATCAGCTATAATGGATTTACCAATGTCTCATATAATACCTTATTATACATCTTAGAATATCGATATTTAAACACTTACTGTCAGCAAACAGATCTACGGATTGCATTTTATAGTCATCTAAACCATTTAAATTACTTAAAAAAGTCGCGGGGTTTTCTTTATATAAAATATCGATCAAAATATATTCGTGACCAAATTTTCCGAACCTGCCTTGACAACTTTTAACTCGTTTATAATATCCAATAATTATGTCAGACATCATTGAGCCTTCTCCATTTCCAAAGAAAATCTTGTTCATGGGTAGGTTGCTTTCTAATAATTAATTAATTATATAAGTAATTTCTATAATTCTTATTCGATTTTATTGTATAATTCTAGCCATTGGGTCCATGGGCGATGTTCTCCCTTTTATAAATCTTGGAGTTGGCTTTAGTCGCCGGGGGCATAACGTCATAATTGCTGCGAATCTCAGATTTAGGAAGTTAATTGAAGCTAGAGGATTCGAATTTAGGGAAATAAGTGTTAGTATTACCTATCAAGTTTTTTCACTAGTTTTTCGCTGGTTTAAATTTGAGATCTAAAGTCCGACTTTTTTTTTTTTTTTTTTTGTAAAGTGGGACATGCAGGATGAATGGTAAGCATCTAAAGTAAATGTGTTAATTTTTTCACTCTAATTAACAATAAATTGTGAATAAAGGGAAAACACTGATGCAGGTAATAATTTCGATAATATAACGTTTTTTATATTATAATGGAAAACAGAATGTAGAAAATAAAATAATCTTTACATACATATATATATTTATTTATTTAATAGGAAGAAAAATGGTGAAGAATTCTGGTTCCGCTATCCTAGGTCCTCCAGCTATGTTTAAATTTTTGAACCAAGGAATCCAAAAAGCCTACAAGTAAGTATATATAATATATTCAAATTTAAATTTCATTTTATTCACTTGTAAATTAGTCGTGCGAATTAAGTAGTTAGTACTTTTAAATCACCGATTTATTACCTTGAGATAAATATATCATTCTTTCTTTTAGACTTTTCTAAATATCGTCTTTGAAAAAATTTACGATTAAAAAAGTAAAACATATGATTCTCGGATAGTTCTTTGAAAATAAAATAAAATAGCTTGTCGCTTCTCGTAATAACAACTTATTTCTTTTAAATTTAGAGATGCAGAAAGAGTTTTGTTAAATGTCGATTTCGTAATATTAGGGACTGGATCAACATATATGTATCCAGAGGTAAAGAAATTATTATATACTTTTATCGTATTCCTGGAAATATCATCCTAATTTACTCAATGTTGCGATTTCAAATTACATTTAGTGCCTTGTTCGACATATTTCTGTTGCTTTTGTTTGTTTCTATCCTTATGCAAGTTCCAAGAATTATGCTGGGGTTTGTATTTATCATAAATGTCAAATACGAGATCTTATTTAAATTCCAAACTAAAAAAAAAAAATGCATGTAATGTTAGGCGGTCTATGGTCAACCATTTAATTCACTGCAATGGCTTCCTTTTGGCTTAAGTGAAAAAATATGGAAAGCTATTGTATGTTCCGAATTCCTTTTATTTTCTGAAAACTTTTATAATCTTTTAATTAAATTAATTTATTAAACTTTTAGGATGGTATAGCTACATATTGGAGTTCTATTGGCTTATTACCTGTAAGAATAAATGAATATATTGACTTTTTGTACTTGTCCAAGCTTAACATTAAATTTATTCTCATATAAAATCGAATAACAGATTTATAATCAAAGACTAAAAGAACTTGGTCTTGAACATGTCAACAAGTTAGTAATGACGCCTTTGATTAACGGTTTATAATTCATTATTTATTAATTTATTAATTATGTGAATTATCATTTTAAATGTAAATTCCTCGTGTTGTCTAGGCTCCCATCACTACCAGGTGGTGCTTTTGAAATTGATAAAGTTCCCGTACTGCACACTTCAAACAAGAATCTCATTCAAATCCCACCAAATCCGTAAATTAAATTCTTATATATATATATGGTTTCCTAGTAATTCGGTTTTTAAACCAACAATTTTTTCTATCTTTTCAGAAATAACCCTCTAGAAGTTCAAATTGACTATCCATATTCAACCTTCAGAGAAGAATTAGAAAACTTTGTCCCGCCAGAAGACTTAGTAATTTCAATTATTTATTATTGAATATTATTATTTATTTTGTATTATATATAAACATGTCGCTTTAAATCACAGGTTAACTGGTTATCGAAAGGAAACAAACCAATTTATTTTGGTTATGGGTCAATGCATAGTTTTGGCGGTGTTGAAAGTAGAGTAAACATGTGGTTAAATGTAATGAATAGACTTGATGAAAACCACAGGGCACTTTTTTCTGGTGTTGGCAGGTATTATATCTTGGATTTTCTTTCCTCACATTAATTTCGAAATCACAAAAATGAATTGGTGAAGAAATTAAAAAATTTTATTGTATAATTTGAAAGTGTAAGAACACCTGAATTATATAAAGCAATTTCATCAGGCCGGGTATTTCTCGTTGGACATGTCCCCCATTCTTGGTTATTTCCTCGAGTTTGCTGCGTAGTACATCATGGTGGTGCAGGAACAACACATAATATTGCCAGGGCTGGTGTTCCCTCAATTGTTGTGAGTCCTTTTTACCATTTGTTTCATAATTATTCTTAAACCTTCATTAATTTCTAATTTACTTTTTTTCTACATTAAAGGTTCCTCACTTTGCAGACCAGCCATGGTGGGCATCTATTTTACATTATCATGGTCTCTCTCCAAATGGTGGAGTTCCATCTCATTCTGTCACTTCCGATAAACTTTATACAGCCATTTTCAAAGTACTGACAGATGAAAAAATTCATGAAAATGCACAGTCACTGGGAAAAAAGATTCAAAGAGAACATGCAAAATCTTCTCCCATATCAAACATTGTTTTATTTATTGAACAGTATTGGAATAGAAATAAATGGGATATTATTTCTATGGATGATAATGAATCCATTGCTTCTATTGAATCTAAGGAGTATATTGAATCTGAGGGATCTAATGACACTGATGATACCATTGATATTGAAGAGTATGTTAGGACTAGCAATGATAATATTGTTAAGGAGAATATTAAGGAGAGAAAGCTTATTGAGCCTCAGTTTGTTGAGCCTGATATTATTTCAGTAGTATAAGATATTTATTTGATTTATTTCTGTTTTGTATTGTAGTTTTTCATTGTTTATTTGTACATGTTAGCAACAAAATTTTATATTTATGAATAATTTGTTTTTAATTGTCATCTTTATTCTCTTTTTATTATTATATTAGTAAAAAGACTTGTATTCATTCACGTTCATTTTTATCTCATTATTACATTCATGTGGAAAGCTTTATGTATTTTTACATATATTTTCTATACTTTTTGTACTTGAAAATTTGTAGAAATAACGTCAGAACTTTTTTTGTATAAATTATCACATTCCTTTTTTCTCATTCTCTAATCATTTTTTCTTCTCATTCTTTCAGATGTATAATTTTTTTTTTAAAGAAAGTTTCTGAGAAGTCTGAAAATATTCAATAAAAAAATTGTTCATAGTTCTAAATTGAGAAATATCCGGATAAATTTTATACGTACAGTAATAAAAGTTATGTATTGTTACGGTTGGAATTTACAATCCGATACAAATGTAAACTTTATTCAATGAGGCAATTCACCAGAGGCGTGACAATAGTGATTTGAATTATAAGTACAATTTATTATAAGCGACAGATGTAGGGAGGCTTTATTTTGTATACTTTTTAATGATAGGAATTAATGTTTAATACCCGAGGGTTCTATATCAGCAAGGAGATATCAACCCTTTTTATATTAATAAAATAGGGCGGCTTTGCTTTTCCCTATCGCTACTCTTACTATCCTGTAAATTTCTTTTACTCCTTATTCAAGTTTCTCTATACCTTAATTCTTTCTTGAACCTTCTTCCACTTGCTCCAAAATCGTCACTATTACTAGAACCTTGTAGATCGTACGCGTAATTAACTTTCTCGAAATATCTTTATGATCGACAATCTTGGATTCAAGATCGGCTACGCTGTGATATAATTGATGGTCGATTTCGGAAATACACTCTAGCCCGTGACAGTATGAATAACGGTCTTAGACTCAGCCCGGCTTGTACATATACAGATAATACCGTAATGAAAAAAAAAAACAGATAAGATGAATAAGCCCAATAACATGTGAATTGTTAAATATAGAACTGTAGAATAATTAAATTAAATATGCATTTCGGCATCAAATTAATTTGGTAAATCGCATTTAAAGCTGTTTCATATGATTGTTTGTAAATCACCTATTTTGACAGTATCTTAAGTTCTAAATTGAAATTCATCTGATTGGTTAATTTTTGGAGATCATATTCTTGATCACTCGTGGAATTAATCAAAAAAAACTCATCGTTTTAATACTAGTGAGAAGCGAAAAAAAACCTCAAAGAAGCTTATAAATTGGTAGATATATAAAAGAATTAATTCATCTCACATGTGTAAGTGGTAGGTCAATATACGTAAAGTGGGGTGAGTCAGGCTCTCTATAAATGCATGGCATAGTTTGGTCCCACCTAATAAAAGCCCTATACATTTTTTACTCTATAAATGCATACGTACTCTAAGTGCACATTTCGAGGTTTGATAAACCAAAACTTATGTATTTTATTACCATAAAAGGTGTAATCTACATTGTCCAAATTTGGAACATTCGTTGACTGAAATACGTATTAAGATTAGTGTTTATACAGCATAACTTAGAAAAAATAAAACAAGTTTGCATACACAGCGAAAACGAAATTTCTTATAAAAGGAGAGTGATAAACATGTTTATTTTATTAATGCATGACACGTATTTAGGATCCTTGTAAGAGGACATGTCCCATGATCGATATTGATATTTAAGAGGACATGTCCCATGACTGATATTGATATTTAAGTAATATTAATAAAACTTAACCCGAGTAGAAATAGAATTCTTATATTAATATTATTTAAAAAAAAGTAAAAAAACAACAATTATTATTAAACAAAAATTAATTCAAGTATTGGCAAAATCATTTCTGCCAAAACATTAAAAATATAACATATAATACATAATAAATTACAGATTAGAAATTGTTCATGTAATGTGCTGTAGTAAATGGTTCTAATAAAATGATGCAGGAATCCTTTTAAAGACTTTGGCATATTCATGTAATTTATTGATTGCATCAGAACCATACCAAAACATAACCCAATGAGTATCTGGAATATGAAAATTACCGTCTGACCTTTCAAAGTACCTAGTTATAGAAAAGTAACCTTATAATTACTATTAATTCATTTTATAAACAGGTATCCATCTATTTACTTACCATGTATTAACTATATTATTATCCCGTGATCTCCACAATAAGTTTGGATAATTTGTTTGTAATTGTTTCCATAGTATATCGGCAATGCCCATTCCTTGAGAATTAGGAGCAACCGCAATTTTGTCCAAATAAGGTAAATCACCTTTTTTATTACCTTCAACGTCCTCCATGGTAACCACAACCGCGCCTTGATAATCACCAACGACAATAATCATATCTAAACAATTTTCTAATCTTGACAAGTAGTCATCGATATTTAATTTGCGACCAAATGATGCCTCAATTAGTGATTGGAAAGAAGATATGTTAACGGTAGAGAGTGAGTGATGAAAAAGTACTGGAGCACCGTATCGTAAAACCGTTATAGGGGTCGATGGAGTTGTTGAGGCCGTAAGTGGTAATGACGATGAAAACCGTGGTTTATCAGTTATTAGGTTAGATACTAATGCGGTAGAAGAATAGGCTGGAACCATTATGGCCGATGATGTAGGGGGAAGATCTTTTAAACAAGACTTTATCATTTCTAAGTTTTCAAGGCCAGTGGGATGTGTGTAATTCCATTTTGGATTGACCTTGTAACTTTGTTTTAAATAATCATATTCTTGTTGAATGTTGATAAAAACGTGAGCTCCTTTACGTTCCTCAGATGGGATTCCACCTTCTGAGTTGATAACAATTATTTTCATTGGTTCTAGCTCTGGAGTTTTTAGATTCAATGAATCTGCATTGGACGAATTTGATAAAGCACGGGACAACTCGATTACTCCAGAATTTGCAGGAATAGTTCTCTGGATTAGTAGTCCATCAAGAGCTATGGGAAGAATTAGTGGGATTTGACCCAGATTATAACACCATTTGAGCCAACGCAATGAAACATTTATTTTTGCGTCAACATCAGTTGCTAGGGTTCGTCCAGGAAGCTTGAAATACCGATAATGATTGTTTGTATTTTTTTCAGGAACATGACTATTTGTAAGAGTAAATACACCATCATAAATAGAAGTTGCTTTTCCACCAGAGATTTCAATTGCTTCACTAAGGTTTGCAGCATCCTCCAACATCCACTGCTTCAATTCATTGAATCGAGCTGGACCTTCTTTTAACATTTCTTTCCAATCATCATTGTCCAAAACCACAATTGACATTAATCCCAATTTTTGCAAATGAACCAATGATTTAGCAACAGATTTCAGGTTAAGAGGAGTGAATGGACCCTGAATTTTGATCAAAGCAACATGATCAAAATTTGATGAAAATAATGAATCGATAAATTGATTCTTTTTCAATTCAAGTTTTTTGGTATCGATATCTGTGAGTTCAGATGGTGGTCTTTTGTCAATTGAAGGTATTTTGGTAACTTTCGGCTTAAGAATTGGTGGTTTAATATAAGGTTTTGTAAATCGGTTAAGAAAAGATTGTGCTTCTTTTCGGCTGGGGATGGTGCTTAAAACTTCAAATATTAGATCCTATCAAAATTTTTTTTAAAAAAAAACATGATATAACTTATAACATCCTTAGTATTGGTCATAGATATAATTTTATACATACTCTGTCATTTTCTACGACGGTACGCTAAAAGAAACGTTTATTCATTATAGAAGATATCAAAGGTTTCCTGAATACATAAAATTTAAGTAAAGTTTACCCCCAAAGCCTTTTTTGATGAATGATATTGTCGTAAATAGCATCGATGCAGGGATGAATTTAGTGCAAATCTGCTAGAAAATTGATAGAATCTATAAACAGGAAGATGCAACATTTTTTTATTCTTTTTGAATTTGTGATGCTGATATTTTTTGGTAGATAAATGTGAAGGTGAACTAATTTATAAGTTTAAAAAAGAAAGATATATAGTAAGCATGTTGTCATGAGACAGCTTTAGACAAATTTGGGCAATTTTGATATAAAAAAAATTGCATTTACTCAAAAAATTTTATTACGCTAAAATGTGTTTGGGCAATTTAGATGAAAAATGTTCAGAATTAAAACATATATTTTTATATAAATTTTTAAAATATATGAGTTTAGACAAGCTCGAAGCTTGGATGAAATATGTCAAAAAAATCTCTGAACATTGATGAAAAAAATTGTAGTGAGAAACATTGATACTTAAAGATAAAAAAAGGATGGTGGTGACATTTTATATATTTGTGGTGACATATATTTTTAATATATTTTTAAAGTAACGATAACGATTATCAATCTAATCTGAGATTTAGAATTTAACGTCAACATTACACAATTCATAAAAGGGCTTGTTTTACATATGGGCGAATTGAGCGTAGCGGGCTTTATCATGATTGGCTAATTTTTGAAGATCATCTCATCATAATATCTTATTAAAGTTATTAAGTAACGATTTTCTATCACAAGAGTGCACAAAAATGCCACGAGTACGAATTTGGGATAAAAATTTAGAAAACATACCTTCAGTCATTGGCAGAAGCTTGTCTGATTGGCTAATAAATTCAATTTAGTTCTACATTATTTATATGTAGGACTCCATAGCCAAAAATATTGTCCGTTTAAAAAAGCTAGTATAGTAATAACTTCTCAAAACCCGCTAAAATCAACTTATTACTAAGCTAATTTTTTTTAAACGAACGAGAATTGGATTTTATGGAGTCTTATAGCTCTAATGTATAAATAATGTAGAATTAAATTGAATTTATTAGCCAATCAGACAAACTTCTGCCTATGACACCTTCGGTTCTATAACATATCAAAGTAATTTGAAGTTAAATGAGAAGTATGTTTAGGAGCTTCAATTTAACCAATATAATCTACGA